TATTAATATCATTTACGATAAATATTGCGTGTAGTGATTTAGAAAAATTATTGTCTTCATAAAAATATAAAATGAAAACATCTGGAAAAGGCGTAAATAAGATTTGATGTTGTAAAATTACGGGTCAGCAAGCAAAGCTCGAATGACTAAAAACCAATCATAAAGAGATAAAAATTAAATAATAGTAATAATAATATTCTAACAGTTCTTCTTTAAGTTTTATTATTATTATGCAAAATGTTGGAAAATTTCCTTGAAAATCCTTGTATATGTAAATAATAACACAAATTGAGTCTTTTTTTCTTGCTTCTGACCAATACACACAATTAAGTACCGTACAGATAATTCAAAACTGTGTTCCAGGCAACTTCATTGTAATTTTTTGTTATTTATAATACAGTTGTGTGTGCATTGGATAATAAATTTTCTATTTATGTAGTTATAAAAAAAAAAAGAGAAATTATTATAAAACAATCAACATACAGTATAAATAAATGAATAATGCAGGATGGCAGAAAGATATTGAAAGATGAGAAATGAATAGGGAGGGGCGGGTACGAAAATCTTATTTTTCGTGAGCAATAAATAAAATTTGAATTCAATTATTCCTTCATGTGGATGTGTTTAATACATATATGAATTCCATATGGTTGACCAACATTTTTTACTTTCCCAACATAGACAGAAAAATGTGGTTATATTGTGCCGTGTGTTTATCTCGTTACTTGTTTGCAGTTTTGTCTGTGATGTTGGTATAAAGTGAAAAGAAAATCAAAAAAGATTTTATTGAATTTTCATGAATAACTGAAAAATAATCATTGAACATATTTGAGGAGGAAGAAGGAGACATTCTGCTCCTGTTTTTTCTTTCCATATATATATATATATATATGAATACACAGACAATTGATATTGAATATTAAAAAAGAATAAAAGAATTTTCAAAATATTGGTAAAATACAGAGAATAAATTCTGAAAGATTTCATTAAGTTTCTGCTGATATTTACTTTAAAAAAGCAACGCAAAAAAAAAAAAAAAAGATTGTGTAAATATGTGTCCGAAGGAATTTTGCAAGGAATTCAAGAAAATATTTCTCTATATATGTGAAGAACGCTAGTCACTACATTATAATGGTCATCATGTTGTTTATTATATAAACTGTATCGATACATATTTTTTTTTTTTTTTTACTTTCTTCTTTGCCAGGACCAAATGATGAGTAAGAGGTAAAAGCAAAGAACGTGACTTTTCCGTACTTATTCATCAGTTTTTACATTGATCTATGGCTGCCACCCAGATTGTTGGCAGTGCCCTCTGGACGATTGCTCAATAATATATTTGCTTCATAAAGCATAAAGCTTTAAAGTTTTTTTTTTTTTAATTTTCTTATAGATTTTGTGAAAAATATTGCCAGCACAAATTGTATATGACTTTCCTAACTATTGAAAGAAATGTAATGTCTCTTAAATACGAGATCAGAATACGCTTTCCCGCTGTCGATATTGTCACTTTTTTTTAATTAAAATTTAAAATTTGTCGCTTATCAGTTTTATATAAAATATTTGTTATCACTTAGACTACAATTAGGTTATTTGGCAGCCAATTATGGCAAAAATCTCATTCACTTTTAATCCGAGTTTTCAAGAATATATGCTCTAAAAACTCCGTTTTAGCGATACGTCATAAGTTTTTTAAGACGTGTAACGTGCAGCTGCGAAGTTCATCTCCTATAAGGCATGGCATGATAAAGATAAAGAACGAATTTGATAGATTTGAAACGACTTTGGCCACGATTAGCTTGCAAAGTCACTTTAGCCAAAAACATAAGCAATTCGTCTTTAAACGACTTGAATATCTGACAGTTCAAGGCAAATATTTGAATAAGAATATCATGCTCGATGATTGTTTTTTTTAAATAAATTTTATTTTTGATGTTCTTACATTTTTGTCCCCACCTAGCGTCATTTTTATGCACATCTCCTGTAGGACCGTTTATAAAAGATAAAACCGTTCACCCGTCCATCTTTCAATTATTCGCCTACGTAGAGGCAACCCATCTTAAGTTAAGTTAAGTTAAGATCTTTTGCCTGCTCGGCCTCTCAGGCGCATACAATAAATAATGGTTATGTAATGCAAAGTTCAAAGGATCTCGACTAACTACTCAACGGGCATGTGCTTAAATGTCAAGTGCAGTAGAGTTTACCATCAAGCTGGCTGCTTTAGATGCTAGTGCTTTAAGATTTTAGTTTTAGAATTTATTGCTCTGGCTAAATTAATAATAATAATAATAATAAAAATGTTACTGGGTTTTTATTAAGGATTGCGAAATTGTTGTTGATAACTTCTGTTGATAAACTGACCTACGTTAAGCATCGTATCAGATCGCATTTGTTTATAAATGCAAACCGAGCATATTTCTTAGAGCACTTATAATTACGTCAATGGCATCGACGACCGATAATAAGAGATTGGTCTATCTCAACTCCTTCCGAGTGCTGCAGAGGGTGTAAAAAGATGAAATGTCTCCTAATAACTATCTTAAGTGGATAATATGGACAAAGTTCAAGAACCAGAACAAACAGGACTTACCAGCTCAGCATTTTACAATGGTTACGAATACATATGCAAACGCAATTATATTTATTCTTACCTTATGCTTACGCACTACTACTACGGTTGCGTTATTTCATCCTGCCTAAGTTCCAGATAAAAAAAGAAATATGATTTTCACTACGAGCACGTATAAAATACGTAGCATATAAACAGGATTTATTGTTGGCAACACAGGCTTCGAATATATTTTTAGTTACTTATTACAATTTTTTGTTTTTTATGTTTGGCGAGGGTCTGGAAATTTTTCCTTTTGATTTTTGCTTCATTTAATTATTTACTTTTCCATTGTAAAGCTTGTTATTGCTTTGCAACATTTCATGTTCTTAATGTATTTATTCAGTCATCCGTGAAGGAAGAAGGAAAAGAATTCGTTATACAAAACAAACAAATTCGATTTATTTGACAGTTTGCTATATTTTCTTGTTCATGTCATTTTATTATAAATTTTCTTTCTTTGGTTTTAACTTTAGTACATTTAATGAAAGGAATTTCTAATGTTTTCGAAGATTTTTGAAGTTTTCCTTTAAAAACAAAAAAAAGTTAAAACCGGTCTATTTGAAAATTTCGTAACTTTTAAAATTTTCTCTCCGTCGAATACTAAGCACTTAATATATTTCATGCATTGATTTAATTCCGATGAAAAATGTCCTGAGGAATAAAGAAAGCTAAATGCGTTGTTGCCATTAAAGTTAAATTAACATTTATCATATGTTATGACGCGCCTACAAGTGGACTTAATATGTAAATGATTCATTCGCTTAATTGTCATTTTCTTTAGTTCACACGTGCGATTTTGCAGAGGTATTTACACAGCGATCCCTTGAAATATCTCTGCACGATAAGGCGTTGTTGCTATGAAATGGAGAAATAAATAAGAGTAAAGAAGAAATACGAACAGAAGAACAATCCCAGAAAACACATTACTGAAAAAAAAAAAAAAAACAAAAGTTTGTAACAGAAACTAGTAGCTTAGGACGAATCTGAAATAACCATCAAATTACGCTGTTAATTGTAAGTATGTTAATAAACGAAGAGCGAACAAGAGTGTTTTGTCCTCTCATTTAAAAGATTAAATAGTCAAATCGTGCTTGCCCAAGTTATAATATTATTAATGAAAATATAATTTGATATTTCCGTATTTTATAATACGTTTATTTATTTATTTATTTTATTTATTTATTTATTTATTTATTTTTCATTTATAGATCTGAAGACATGAGCAGAGAATGCTATCAATTCAAAATTTGTCCGCTGTGAGCTGTACAAATTACTGCACTTGACGACGAATATATGAAGAAAGAGATCATGATTACTGAAGCAATTTAACTGAGCAATTTAACTGATAGTTACAAACAAAATGACACAATTAGTATGGTCCCAACGTGTGTGGCCGTAGAAATTAAATTACATTGAAAATATTACTGTTTGAACACGTTTAAAATATGCTTCTCACTTATTCATTGGAAAAAATCCTAAAAATATGCTTTTCTGCGTTTTCCTCTTGCCTTCCTTTGTATGCCAATAACTCGAGTTATCAATGTCAATAAAAAAAAAAAATTAAATAATTGTATTGCAAATTATAATTCATTTTCACTTTGCGAATCGAATTTCATTTCATATACAGAACAATAAATTGTTTTTAAATTGCCTTAAGTTATTTATAGAGTTAAAACTCACGCTACGAATAAAACTTTATGTATAAATAATTTATCTTTTTTTTTTTCGGTATACACATATATGTAAATTTTAAATAAACAAATATACTCAACACTTCATTAAAGATAATAACTTATTTTTTTTATAAATATATGAATATAAGGACATCAACAGCAACTGAGATAATAAAAACAAATATTTTCTGACATACGTCATAAAATATTTCATACAATTGCAATACAAAAGAATAAAAAATTAATGATAATAATTAATAAATAAATAAAATTAATTTGTACAAAAGCAAATAAACAATAAATTAAGCATTTTCCGCTACGCGCTTGAAAAATCTACGAAACTGAATTGTCGCTTAAGATCGATTTGATGAATATAAATGTTTTTAAATC